CAAACAAACAAACAAACAAAAAATAGAGCACGAATCATTCCCTTAAAGTCTCAAATCCATTTATTTGTCTAAGGTTACAAACTCAGATTTAAACATCTCATTTTTAAATATATAAAGTTGGGATGAATTCTGCTTGGAAGAGTCTTTTCACTGGCTTGAAGGCCTTGACTGTCCAGCACACAGGTAACCTGAATGTGTCCTATTTCAGTATCTTCCTCAAGAACAGTAGAAAGTGTTAAAGTGTGTTTTTTTTTTTTTCCTCTCTAAATATGGCTACTCCAGAATAAGGAGCTGGCTCTCTCTTGTGTCAAACCTATGACCCTCAGTTAGGAATGTGTTAGAAACAATGTAAGCAGGGGCTGTGGCACTGGGCATGCCACACAGTTAAGAGTGAAGATAAGAAACTGGCTTCTGTTCAAGCAGGGCAACTTTCAGTCTGACAAACTAAAACAAGGAGTTAACACTTTATATTTACCCTTCTAGGCACGCATACCATTCCTGATGAATTTCGCCTTGTACTCATCAGCTTTTAGTAGTCATGGTGAAAGAAATCACTACTGCAATATCAGCTTTCACTTGGAGGCTGGGGGAGCCAAGTGACTCTAACAGCTAGAGCTTAGCTATCCAATTCAATCTGGAACTAACAGTAACAACATTCTGTGTATGCAATAAATGTAATTTAAGTAAACAAATTATCACAATAATTGCCAAGGAGCTTGGTCCTTGTTGTGCTAGATGCTCTACAAAAACTCAGGCACGATGCCTGCCTGAATGACCTCTCAAACCAAGTAAGAATATTTAATATTTCACTCCTGCTGGGTAAGTTATACTGCAATTTTCATCTACTGGTAAAACCTCGTATATCATATTAATAACAACTGAGAAATTTAACACAGCTCCTACATAGCAGAACTTCTATATCCTATACTTTATGGCTTTGACCTCACAATTGCCAACATGAAAAATATATGTTAATAGTACAGTACTAAAAATATTTAAGAAAACGGTATCACAGACTATTCCTACTTCAAACATTTACATTCATCACTATGATAAAATGATTTGCTTTTGTACTCAACGCACTTCTCTTTACACCGCGTTGAAAGCTAGCACTTTGCTTTCTTTGGATAACACTCGATATCACTGCACTTCAGCTCGTATTTGCTAGACTTCTTTTTTATTATCTTATTTGAGTTGAATAAGGGCCAAGGTTATGCACGTAACACAAGGCGTCCACCTTTTCTATGAAAACAATGAAAGCAGAAAAAAAAATCAACGCAAAAAAGTGAGAGAATGAAATTAAAAGCAGAGCATGGCAAATTAAAATCCACTGTGAAAAGATTATTTGAATTCTGGAGCTAAGAAGGGATGTTAGTATCTGCATCTTTGTCTACTACAGTGTCACGGTGTCAAACTGAATACTTCAGATCACCTACCAAGTAACCTCCTGTCAACGCACGCATGTATTATTGTGCACTAATACATGATCTTCTGCAAAGCTGTGTTTGCTGTTCAGACCAGCTATTAATTCGCTGCTCCTTTTCCAGTAAGTATCTAGATTTGACCAGTACTCAAGGAAGCTGAAAATCCACACTGGCTTTTCAGTCCTGCGGGTGGGACGGATTAGTCACGAGGCACGCTCTTCATGCTGAGAGCTATCAAGAGCTGGAAGGAAAATTGTTTATACAGGGACTCTTACTGCAGACTTGTCCATACGCCAAAGAGAGCTCATGTTGGACTAGCAGAGGTGGTTTTGCCACAGTGACATTTTTGACAACATCACACGCCCACATACACTAATGCTAACAGATTCTCTGAAGTCTGCAAGGGGTTCCTGTGATTTCATGCTACATCGAAACCAACACGACAGCAAGTCACCCTGAGGTATTAAAGGGAGTCTGCTTAGCTCTAGCTGGTAGGATAGGATAAAGCTCTTTGGAAGTGATCTCTGCTCTTTCAGACTGACACATTTCCTACTGGTCTCAAAACACTCCAGTGAGTAGCAAACCTTAGCAAGCAGGAAAGCTCAGGCTTTCGCATCTCACTACCCCAGGAATGTTAGTGTTATGACAGAGATGCAGTTGAACAAAAAGGAAACTAGATGGAAAAATAAAACCTGAGAAAGATTCAGTACATCATGGGAAAGGAAAAGTGTAAGAGCAGTGAGAAGAAAAAGAGAGAATCAACATTCAGAACAGTTATTTTGTTGTTCTATTTGCATTCTCATGTTCATACTCTTGAACTCCTGGAACATAGAGGAAGAACTGAAGGAGTCTGGAATACGTGGGTTGACTGTCACCCACTGCGTGACATAAGGCTATTCTGGCTTTATCAGCCTAGCTCTGGGTTTCAGTGGCATAGGAAGTAAATCATAGAATGCTCAAGGTTGGAAGCGACCTCTAGAGGTCCTCTAGTCCAACCCCCCTGCACACGCAGGGTCACCTAGAGCACGTGGCACAGGACTGCGTCCAAGCGGGTCTTGAAGATCTCCAGAGACTCCACAACCTCTCTGGGAAGCCTGTTCCAGTGCTCTGTCACCCTCACTGTTAAATTTTTCCTTAAGTTCATGTGGAACTTTTGGTGCTTCATTTTGTGGCCATTAAGCTTTAACCATGCTAGACCATACCATAACTTCAGGTTTTCTAATTAAATAGTCAAGTCTGGAGAAGGCATATTCCAGTGCACTGTAGCTTATGTTATATCATGCAGCTTCCACTGACAGGAATTCTGTGGAATGATGGATGTTAGTGAACTGTTATTTTTGGCAAAACCTGTGGAGAGTGGTGCCCATAGGATGAAGCATACCTCTAGTCTGCACTGCCAATTTTAAAATGCATCAGTGTAAGCTGACATTTAAAGTAAAAAGATAGCCTTAATCACAGTTATATTAAAGCACTCTTCCAGAATCTGTATAGCAAGGGAATCAGTTCTAATAAAAAATGCTGCTAAGTTTCCTCAATCTGCCAAAAATTCCTTTAGTCTCAGTACAATGCAAATATCAAGAAGGCTCCCTCCCATCTTACTTCAATGTAATTGCTACACATTGGCTGCTCTTTAAAAGAACATTATACTGGGCATATCTTGGCAAGTCAGAGAAAATATCTGCCCTTCTGCTCATAAATATGTGCCAAGCTGAATAAAAACATAACGATACAGCATCCAGCAGAACAAAATGTCACTTTACTTTCTGTTCAACACTTACTAGTTTTCTTTTATGACGGCTACAAGTCTTCAGCTTGAAAATTAAAGGTTGGTTCAGTTATAAAAGCTAGAGATAAAACCTTTTCACAAGTTTACAGAAAAGTGTTTTATAACTAAGACATGCTTTGTGTAAAGCCAGCACTCACTTAGAGTTTGTGGAGACAGTGTGAAGATTTCAGCAGATAGCAAGTCGTCTATTGAAAGAACCCACTGTCTGTTTGCAAAACTGTAGAGTTACAGCTCTTTAAAAACATGAAAAACTTCCAGAACAAAATCCTTTCAACTTCTCACAACTCAAAACACAGATCTTAAACCTGTACTTCTTTCTTAATCAAACTTCCACTGACTTCCCTAAGAATCTGCCTAAACAGGAATTAACCAAAAGTAAAGCTCTTAAATAAATCAGGATCTGCAGGATTTGACTTTCAAATATAAATGGGATGGAAAAAAAACTCAGATAGAACCTTTCAGATATACATGCCCACAGAAAATAATCTCTGTTTAGAAAAAGGCAATCACATGGAGTTAGACTGTCAGAATAAAGCAATTAGAAAACTGCCAGCTGAAGGAAATCTTTGTGTTCTTCTGCTGAAAAAATGTAGCCTCCTTTTCTGACTCACCGTTATTTCCTGCTCATAGGTCCAAACACCACAGGCCAGTTCAACACAGAATATTACAAGCAAGCTTCCAAAGTACTGCAGAAAACAGAATGGCCTTAGTTATTTTTGATATTCAAGTTAATTTGGGAAAAAAAAGACAAAAATTAAAATACATCTCAAAATATTATTAACAAAACACAAATACTTGAAAACATGGCTGAAGAAATAGAATCTGAAATATATTTTGCAACCAAAATATTACTGATTCATGAAACAAACTTTCCAAAAGCTTAAAACATGTGACATAGAACACTGTGACATTCCTTACTGACTTAACATGAAGCATATGAAACATTACCATGGGGAATACAAATTAATCGTCTTGCGGCTAACAAAACAGGGTTAGCATGCCATATTACTCTAAAACAATCCTAAAGAGATTTAAAAATTTCTCACATATGTGAAAAAAAATATATACGGTTTTGAGCTCCTTTCGTTTAAGTAACATAAGCACAGAGTATGTTACTGATCAGAAGGGGGAAGGAGAGAGAAAAATAAAATAAAATAAAAAGAAAAAACAACAATAACAACAGAAACAAAATGACCCCCTCCCCAAATAGACACAAAAAAACCCACAAAGATAGACAAGACAAAAAATAAATAAATAAAAGAAACACAATGTCCTTGAAAGCTGTATTTTTCCAGAGTGATTTAAGCAGTTAAGGTCAGGTACAAACACTTACCGAGACAGACTACAACACTTTTGTCTATAACAATACCTAACCTTTAAATTATTTAGAAATAGAAAGCATTTGCATAAAGAAAAAGCTGGTGAACATTCAGAAAAGCTAGAAGCTGTGATTAGGAAGAGCAAAACTAACCTCCATGTAACAATAATAAACTATTTTTGAATTGCAGGACAAAGCAGCTTGGAAATTAAATGCTTTAAATGTTGCCCTACAATTGAGTCACTTATTGAGTCTTTATTTAAGGCAAAAGCCCAATTCCACTCATTCTTGACTCCAAACTTCCCTCTGTATCAATGAACTGATCTCGCCTTTCTCCTCAGTGCACAAGGCTGTAACACACAAGCCGCATGAATTTTATTTGGTATTAGAAAGCAATGAACGTATGTGGGATTCCTGAAGGCCAGTGGTCATGCTGTGAGCAAGCCAGATAAGGGCAGAAGGGCGCCAGACCTAGATGAAAGGGCAGAAGGGCGCCAGGCCTAGCTGAAAGGGTGGAAGGACTGCTGACTAAGAGATAAGGAGATCTTGCGGAGAGTCAGATAAGGAGGCAAAGAGTTGACGCAAATAAGAGCTAACCTATCCTGAGCTCAAGCTTTGCAATATGCATGAACCTAATTAAGTTGTGTATAAGAGTGCACACTGAATGTTCAATAAACGAGTCTTGTCGATGACCATATGGTGTCGCAGTCTCCCTTTCTCCTACAAATGGTGACCCCGACGTGACTCCAGGAAACTGTTATTTCTAGTATTTCTGACTTCCTGTTTTTACTAGGTTTCTTCTTCTCATCTATTCGGTGGCCAAAAGCAGAGATAAAGCCTTTAGGACAGAGGGCTCCGGCTCCAGAAGTCTGTGGCTGCCCCACGTTAGCTTCTCCATCAACTTCTTGGAGAGATGCTGAGCTAGAATACTTACTCAAGGAAACACCACCCCAGTGTAAAGCAGAGCAAAACAAACAACTGATTTCCTTAGTAAAGCACATTCCAAAAGGCTGCAAATGTGGTCATTTTGTTCTGGAATGCATTTAGGAAAGGTATAAAACCCAGAAGCATGTAAGGTAACTGAAATATTTTTTTTTGCTATTAATAGTTACAATAGAGAATATAAAACCACAAGCGTTATGACTTAAGGTTCACCTATATGGCATAATCTTCATTCAACAAACCTTGAACTGTTGAGTTCACAGCAAATATTGCAGTTAATGAACAGTGTCCTGTATTTACTATTCCTACTACTTCTTGCTGATCAAATCCAACTCCCTGAAATATAACCATAGATGCAAATAGTCAAATTAAAAATAATCATGTGAAAGACCTTGTGTGAATTTTCAAGAGAAACTTGTACTTGTTTCCTCTCCTACTGTAGAGCTGCTTTCAAAGAGAGTGTTGAAAGAAGTCTGTTTTAGCAGCCTCCACTGTATCACATTGCATATTCAGTCATTAAAGCTGGATAAAACACCTCTCAGCTTCACAAACCAACTCTACAGGCTCATGCAGAGCTCCAAGACAGGCCTTCAATGACCAACATATTTGTCTTCCAAATGTACAAAAAGAGCAGCAAATTTGAGTTATATCTTGTAAAAATAATGATGTTTTGGGTTTCCAACAAAATAAACTCCCAAGCTTCTAGATAATAAACCCACCATTACTGTGGTGCCCATAATTTATTCAAATAGTTCTTTATAAAAATTGTGGAAAAAAACAGACAAACAAAATAAAAAACACAAATATATCTACTTTACAAAGTCTTCTCTTAGAAAGGTGGAAAAAAGATCACCTGTTTTAGCTCTTTTAATTGATATGAAAGTCTTTAAGGATATGATGGGTAATACTAACATTTTTGAGAATAAGAGCAACTAGATACTTATATGAAAAATGACTTGAGTTCTCAGCTGTCAAAGGAAATTTTAGGACTTTCATACTGCGATAGAAGAGGAAATCTGGGACTGCCTGATATCCCCAACCTCATGCAAAACTCACCATAATGAAAGGGGGAGTACAGGTGGTATACTTTAAGAAAACTCTTAATTTATAGCTCCTTTTCATGTTTCATTGGTTTACAAATCTTTGTATTCGACACTTTCATTGCATATAGTTATAAAAGTTTCTGGTAGTGGTTGCAGACACAAGAGCCAAAAATATGATTTTTCTACAGTGCTGAATAGAGTCTGAGATGAACACCGTTGAGCCAGACTCACTCAAGAAACATTTCTGAGTTTGAACAGTTCCAACTCTGGCTTCCTCTGGACACAGCAGAAGACTGCAGAATCAAGGCTTCTGATTGCCTTGGAAAATAAAAACAAAACTTATTCTGCTCATAAGGAAAAAAAAAAAAGAACAAAAAAGAACTTACACATATGAAATAATATTTTAGGAATTGAGCAATTGCAGTCACACAAAACTCTTTCATAGATGAGCTTCAGTTTCACTCTGTCATTATAGGGGAATGTTTAATTATTTCTAATGGTTTCCAAAACAAATAATTTTTAGAGAAACTGGTGAAAAAAAATGAAGTCAGTTTTTAAATTTATTATCCCTAGTTTCCATCTTGAAAACACAGAAATTTTTATTGGCTTCGCTGACAAAAATGGTCCCGACATAAATTCCCCAAAGAGTCTGAATGCTAAATGCATCTTCCTGTATGTGCAAACTTCTACTTTTTACCAGATACAGTGATATGAAACCAGGTTTATTATTGCTTTGTTCCTCTTATGGGCTCAGTGACTGCATTCTGAAAGCAGGCTAACAATATCACTGCACTTCACACTTTTCCTTAAGTTCCTGAGGAACTTTCAGTGCTCAGTTTGTGGCTGTTTCCTCTAGTCCTATCGCTGGCCACAGCTGAAAAGAGACTGGTCCCATCCTCTTCACTCCCTCCCTTGAGGTATTTATATACACTGATCAGATCCCCTCTCAGCCTTCTCTTCTCCAGGCTGAACAGGCCCAGCTCCCTCAGCCTCTCCTCGTAGGGCAGATGTTCCAGGCCCCTGATCATCCTTGTGGCCCTGCGCTGGACTCTCTCCAGCAGCTCCACATCCCTCTTGTACTGTGGAGCCCAGAACTGGACACAATACTCCAGATGTGGCCTCACCAGGGCTGAGTAGAGGGGCAGGATCACCTCCCTCGACCTGCTGGAGATGCTCTTCTTAATGTACCACAGGATCCCATTGGCCCTCTTGGCCACGAGGTCACACTGCTGCCTCATGGTCAACTTATCATCCACCATGACACCCAGGTCTTTCTCTGCAGAGCTGCTCTCCAGAAGGTTGGTCCCCAGCCTGTAGTGGTGTCTGGGGTTATTCCTCCCCAGGTGCAGGACCTTGCACTTGGCCTTGTTGAATTGCATGAGGTTTTTCACTGCCCAGTTGTCCAGTCTGTCCAGGTCCCTCTGGATGGCAGCACAGCCCTCTGGGGTATCAGCTACTCCTCCCAGTTTGGTATCATCAGCAAACTTGCTGAGGGAGCACTCTGTGCCTTCATCCAGGTCATTGATGAATAAATTGAACAGGACTGGACCAAGGACTGACCCCTGTGGGACCCCACTAGCTACAGGCCTCCAACTAGACTCTGCACTGCTGATCACCACCCTCTGAGCTCTGCCATTCAGCTTTATTTCAACTGCAAGTGAAAAAACAGAAAAGAATTGCAAACAGAAATAAAAGTCCTCCTTGAGAAAATCACCTGCAGAAAGATGGGGAAAGACAGGAGGACGATGCATCAAGGAAAAGCATTGGAAGCACCAGGTTTGTTCCTTGAGTAACTACTTGTGCCCTCTTTGCTGCAGCAGTCTTCACGCAGCACAGGTGTAAATGTGACTGTTGCCTGCATCCTCATTTCCTGATCCAAAACTTCTGATGGAGAACACACACACACACACACACACACACCAAAAGCAAGGAAAACCATTACAGTGAATTCTCAGTCATTGCAGAGTCCATAGGAGATCACATTCAGCTACCACAAGTTTAATAGCCTCCAGAAACAGTCCTCTTGCAAAAGTCAGAATCAGACAGCCCTAAGCCAACCACTGTAAGGAACTCATATACCATAAAACAAAAAAGGACAGAGCAAGGGTAGTGGAAAATATGAAATGGAAAGCCAGGGCTGAAATTCAGCCACAGAAGTGAAGAAATAATCCTCAAGTAGTAATCAAGGATAGAAGCAGAAAATAACAACAACAACACCAAAAATACAGGCTAGCATTTCAATTACAAGTTGAGTGCTAGTTAGATGATTATAAGGATGGTTATAAGGTGGCTACTTATCTGCATAGTAGCCACCAGAACCTGACAGATCACTAGAAAGATGCATGATATTTGAAAATTTATATAAAAGAATCATCAGAATAAA